TGGAGGACAAGAGTCCCCAGGCCAGGCCAGTGACTCAGAAATAAGTGATGAAAATGTCAAATATGATAATGGATAATATATCACTGCGTGATGCTAGAACATCAGTATCTGTGATACGCGATTAAAAGGTAGAGAGTCATTCTCAGGTCTCCTAGACACGGGCACAGGTCTTTGCCTGGTTTCTTAGTGAACTCATCCTCCTCCTCTCCTGAGAATGGGGAGGATCCTCCTGCCATGCCAGCTCTCCAGCCATCTCCTCAGCTGCATCTATATGGGATAGTGTTCTTTCTATCTGCGGTGGCTCTCTGCACTAATCATTCAGCCCTGCTTGCAGGAATTGGTGTCCCTGTCTCATCATCCTTCCATACTGTAACCTCTGAGGTCAGGTGCCTGTTGACATGCTTGTCACCTTCAAGTGCCCCAAGCAGTAGCCCAAGCATTTGACACTCAGCATTCATGGAAGGGATGACTGATACTGGGTGAGCTCCTTAGTAGCTCTACAATGATTTGAGGGTCAAAGGAAATCTGTGGTTCTTAGCCCTGGATTATCTGAGAACCTCCTCAGAAGCTTTCCTTGGTCCAATACTGGTCTGAGTTCATGGTGTAGGTGCAGCTAGATAAAGAGCCATTGAGGTACAGTGACTGTGGGCTTTTCCATTTCTTACCCTTTGCTGTGCATGGAGTCACCTGCAGATTGTGGTTCAGTAGGTCTGGCTGGTGCTAAGGCTCTACCTTTCTGATCAGCTTCAGGAGCCATTGCTGCCACTGGCCGAGGACAACTCTATCAGTGGCAGGACTTGTATAGTAGTCTTTTGTATCTAGCTTCTTTCCTTTAGCATAATGTTTTTGCTATTTATCCATGCTCTCATACATGTCAGTACTTTATTTCCTCTTATTGCTGGGCATCATCCATTGTATAAATATGTTACCTTGTGTTTATCCAGATTTTGGATATTATGAAGCTATTTAATGTCATTAGTAATGTGGTTGGACCACAATGAATTCAATCATTATTTATAGCAAACATATAGTTACTAAACATTAAAAAATGACAATGTGGTTGGATTTAAGTCTCCATTTGCCATTTGTTTTCCATTTCTCTTTTAATTTTTGCTCTTTTCTAACTTCTTTTGAGTAAATCTTGTATTTCCAAGTCTTTTATTGTACAGTATCTTCTCTAATGTCTTCTTTGCCAGGCTTCTTTTATTATTTTTAAGTAGTAGCTTATACCTCTTCAAATTAAACTGAATAGTCTTTTGCTCTTTATGAAAATTCAGATAGTTATATGACCTTTCTGTTACTCTGAGGGGATGCAAAATCTCAGTCCACAAGTTATTGTGTCTTTTCCCATCTGCTTTGCCCCAAAGTTTTGCATATGAGGAAGACAGAAGATAGGAAAGTGCAAAAACAAAACAAAAACCAACATAATTTAAGAGATGACCTCCAAAATAAACAAATAAACAAGCAGTCAGACAGACAAACATATGCTAGATTGCCCTGAAGCTCAGAAAATACTTTTTAATTTGAAGAAAAAACATGATAATTTTTTATCATTTAACAAAGTTATATTAAGTCATAAAAGCATTAAGAATAGAAATTGGGAGGGGAGGAGGGGGTAAAGGGAGGGCAGGGACAAGGGGAAAAAATGAGAACCAAGACTTGTCATGTAGAGGTACAAGATCCCAACAGTGAATGTAACTGTACTGTGTCCCTAAAATGTACCAATAAACTCAATTAAAGATGAAAAACAAAGAATAGAAATTGGATACATATTTCAATTTTGCTTTACATTTCCATTTTCTGTCCATAAATTAAAATCTAGTTACTTCTCCCATGATTTCAGAGCTTCTATTGGTGATCTGCCCTCACTCCCCAGCTCTGCCATGTTGTCAGGGTTCTGTGCCACCTCCACATTTGTCTTCATACCTGTCAGTTTCTCTCATTAAGGTCCCTGAAAGCACAGGAGGATAACTGGAAACCTGACCATTGAGCTTCCTTATTCTCTGCAGGACTCTGTGTCAGGGAGTCAGGCTCTGCTCCAAAGGGCCACAGACCTCCAGGAGTGTGACCTTGGGCAAGTCTTGTCACTTTTCTCAAGTGCATGTTCTTTCCATTTGGAAAAGGAATGTTGAAGAAATTTACATCTCAAGGTTGGTATAAGAATCATAAAAAGACAGTGTGCAAAGAAATGTTGCATATGATTCAAATCAAATGGAAATTCAGTGGTCTTGATAGGCAGGGCCTTTGAGGGCACAGGCATACTGCCAGTTTGATGGGGCAGATGCCTTCAGGCTGGTGTTTGAGCAGTGCATGGAGAATGACTAGAAGATGAAATCTCAGGCTTCAATTTCATTTTAGAGATGAAGTTGCCACATGCTCAGAAAGGCCTGAGTTATAGTTCTGTCCTTCCAGTGACTAGGGCTGTGACAATGGTAAATGTGTAACCTTTCTAAACTATCTGTCTGTAAAAGAGAAAGGCAATATCTACATGGTATAAACAAAAGGTGAGATAGATAAAGAAAGAAATGGGCTTCAAGGCCAACCCAGTGAGGGCATTGTGGATGACCACTGTAATCATAGCCCTTATTCTTGTGTTGTTCATATGCTGGGGTGGTGGTCTGGAAGATTTTGCTCTCAATGGTTATGTGTACTTCTTTCAAATAGGCCACATGATGGCATTAGGAGTCACAGCCATACAAGAACATATGCTATGCAAAGTGCAAGACAATACAAATAAATACCCATGGGGTATAGAGAGAAGCTAGTCCTTGGTGGGCTTGATCAAGGACTTTTAAGTTTCTTGCACATCTTTGGGAGAGAAGAACAAAGGAGAGATGGAAACAATGTCAATGGCATTCTAGAATGCATCTGGAAGGAGACACGAGAGGATAACATTTTGCTCTCAGACACTGGAGTCTATTTGCCCAAATTCTGGGGTTAGAGCTAAGAATGCACATGAGAACAAGGACCTCCTGACCCTTCAAGACTCACTGGATGATGGTGTCTCTTTCCTTCATTCATGTTGGTTTCCTGTACCTTCACTGTTGGAATAGTTGGACAGCTATAAGGTCTATCACCAGTGCCTTGAAATGTGTTGAATGGGTGCACCACAGGCCTTGGTAGAATGATGTTACCATGTAGGAATTTGTTTATATCCTTGGCATAGATAACAGTAAGCAATGAATGGTATCTGATAGCCTAAAGTGGTATTTATTATCATCTAGAGGAATGCCACCATGGTATTTGCATTCCCACTCCCAAACTGATTATTCTGAAGCAGGACCAGTCTGGCTCCTTCAGACCAGGGCTGGTAAGGGAAGAAGACAGGACTCCAGGAGTCTTCAAGAGAACCACAGGCCACAGGGATCTCTGATTCAGGTAGGTTGTCCTCACCCAGCTTAAGAAGCCAGTTGACACACATGGGGAAGTAGAACAGTGTCTGTCCACAGCCTTGCTGTTATCTTGACTAGAATCAAGTTCCTCTGTGGCTTTCTTGAATTTTCTAATATTATCTCTGAGACTTGCCCACACCACTGGATTTTCATCCTCAACAGGAGCCTGCTTCCTCCCAGAAGGATTTCCTCCAACAAGCAGGGAATTGTTAGAGGGCCAGGCAGACACTGACTTATGACGCTTGGAAGCCTTAATAATTGCTGGCACCTTTGAGGACTGAGAAGACTCATTTCAGTCTCAAAAAAATTGGTTTTTAAGGGAGTCTTTTTTAATTTTTTGGTACCAGGGATTGAACTTGGGTCCTAGTGCTCGTGTAACAGGTGCTGGAACTACAGAGGTAAATCCCCAGCGCAAAATACTGGTTTTTTGAAGAGACGTTGCAACTCAATACTTCGAATGTTCCTAAGGAAAAACCAGAGACCTCAGCACTACTTTAGGGAATTCTGTGGGAGTCACCTGCATTTATTTGACATAAGTGCCAAATTCCATACTTAGCTCAAAGGGTTCTCCTTGGGTCTTTCAGCCTGTGAGTATCATTATGTCCCACAGGCAGCACCTAAATCTTCATCCCTCTGGAGTTCTACCAGACATATCTTGTTCTGATTGCCTGTCAGATTCTGTCTTTTCAACATACAAAATGCCTGTATTTGTAAACACGCAAGTGGTCTGACCCTGGAAGTCATGTAACTTTGGACATTTCATCTTAAAATTGGAATAACAACTCTTGCTTCTTTCACTGTGTTAACCTGAACTAACAGTGGGAAAGATCTTCATCTACTGAGGGTGCACAAAATTTCTTCTCTCTCTCTCTCTCTCTCTCTCTCTCTCTCCCTCCACCCCCTCTTCTCTGACTTCTTCCAATGAAGCAAATTGTATGACTTAACAATAGCCAAAACATTAGAATTTGAGCCTTTGGGAACTCTATTAATTCAGTCTTTTTATAACAAGAAGTTGTGAAAGAAATTGCTCTTTTTCAGATTGAGCTAGAGAGAGAATCAGCATATTTTACGGAAAAGTTCAGGCAGTAAATATTTTAGGCTTTGCTGGTCAGATGATCTCTCTCTATCAACTGCTTAACTCTGCTATTACAGCTCCCAAATAGTCATAGACAGTATGTAAACAAGGACACAGCTGTGTTCCAATAAAACTTTGTTGAAATGTGAAACAAAAAAAAAATGAGCCAGAGCCATATTGAGGTCTATAGTTTGCCGGTCCCAGAACTAGAACAATGAAGTTTGAACTTTGACAATTCCATTTGATTTTTATAGAAAGTTGTCAAGATCTTAAGAAATGGTAGAATACCATGTGTTGGCATTGTAACTTAGAGTTTGGAAAACGTTGCTATGGAAGAGTGATAGAAGAGAGTGCTTGGTCTTTGAAACTTTTCCAGATGCAGTGAGCATTTCCCAACAAAGAGCAGGCCTTCTGCCTGATAAGCACCAGGCATATCCAATAAGGCAGCCTGGAATTAGGAGGGCTGTTACTGATTCTTTTTCTTCCTGTCCATGTAGGTCTTACAAGTCTAAATTGTTTCATTAACACTGAAAATGTCTTCTTTGGAGGAGTGCTCAGGAATGGAAATAGACTCCAAAGACTGGGAAAAAGATGAATATCAGTGCTGCTCAGAAGGTATGTATTTTGGGAAAAAATTCACATCAGGACCAAAGAAATAATTCTAAATTGTGCCTGGATCTACACTTCCTTTCGCTGACCTGCATACTAGTCATCTTCAGAGATCCCCTGGTAAACGAATCACATAATAGGAATACTAGAAAGGAAAGGGAATTTTGCCATGGAGACCAGGCTTATTAAGTGACCATTCCCACCAGGTGGATGGTTTTACATCACCCTAATGATCTCTTCCTTCCCAAACTGCCCAGGCAGACACACACACACACAAAAAAAAATCTCCCATGGTTAAAGGGGTTTTCTGAGGCTGGGTTGGAAAAAAACGCCCCACTTGTAGGGCTTCTGAGCCCTTCATGAAGGAAGACACATGGTATTGATTCCAGGGGGACAAGAGAGGAGGCTCTTGGATCATATGGCTGTTTAATGCACTAAAAGTGAAGGAGAGATCTGTACCCAACCAGGCTAAACCTTTGGCTATTTTATCTCTGTTTTGCAACACTTGTGTCCAGGGAAGATATTTTTAATGCTGTTACTATATTTTTCCTTTGCATTTCTTAGCACAGACACAAAGAAGTAAAGAATTGAGTGGCCCCTAGTAGGGTTAAAAAAAAAAAAATCCCTTGAAGACCTCAGCTGTATGTACTTACCTCATTATCTCTGACTACAGATCCAGCCAGAAGTCCCCTGGAGGCAAGCTTGAGTCAACCTTCCATGAGTTCTATGCACTCAAGTAAGGTACCTGGGTAAAGTGATGAGATGATTGAAGGATGAGGGAATAGGGGAGGGTGTTACTGTGTATTTTTTAGAGACTGCAAGAGTCGTAGACTGGGGACACTTTTTTAGTTACTTTCCTTATCCCTTGGACAAAATGCTCAATACCCATGACTTGAAGGAAGATAGGTTTATTTCAGCTGACATTTATAGTCTATAGTCAGCTGGCTCCAAGGCAGGAAGGTCTGGTGGCAAGGAATGGATGAAGAAAAGCTGCTCACACATGTCAGGGCAGCCAGGAAGCATAGAGATAAAAGAAGATCCAGGAAGGGAACTATACCCTTCCAGGTCATACCCAAGGGACCTTCCTCCTATTACCAAGTCCCAACTTATTTTCTTTTTTTTTTTTTTTTTTTTTTTTTTTTTTTTTTTTTTTTTTTGTACCAGGGATTGAACTCAGGATCTCGTGCTTGCGAGGCAGGTGGTGGAACCCCTGAGCTAAATCCCTGGCTCTCCAAGTCTCAACTTATAATGAAAAGTCAGCTATAACACCCCATGGTTCAAACCTCTTCCCAAAGCCCCCTTATAAGCACATGAGGCTCTTGGGGGACATCTAGGTATGAACCACAATATGCCACCACTGGCTCCCAAAGACACATGTGCATCTCTTTACGCAAAATGCATTTAGTCCATTTCTAAGAGCCATCGAAATCTTGGCAGTTCCAGCATTGCTGAAAAGTCCACATTCAAAGGCTCCTCTGAGACTTCAGGTGAGCTCTTAGGGGTGGCATGCTGTAAAAATAAAAGAATCAAACATTTCCAATGTAGAATGGCACAGGAATAGCATTCTCATTCCAAAAGGGAGAAATAGGAGGATAGAAAAGAACCAAACCAAAGCAAAACTAAAACTGAGCAGGTCAAATATTAAACGCTGCAATTCCATGTCCAGCACCCAGGGCAAAGAAGTGAGCTCTAAACAGGTCAGATGGCCCCAACCCTACAGCCCCAACCCTACAGTGCCAGTTGCAGCTATCGTGGCCTCCCTCTTGAGCTGGCTTTGGTCACTGCTTGTTGCCTTCCTCAGCAGATATTCCACATACCTAGCTTCTCCAAGTTCCTGGGGTTTCCACTTTACTTTTAACTTCACTCTCAGAGCTTCATACACTGCTCTCACACTGCCTGGCCTCCCAGGCCTTCTTTTAAAATCAGGGTTGGAGTCCCCATGACTCCACAACTCTTACATTCTGTGTGCCTGTAAAACCAGAACCACATGGAAGATGCTAAGGTCTGCTGCCAGCTCAAGTAGTAGTTAGGTGCCCTTAGAATGTGGCTGCGGAGGCCTCTAAATTCCTTGATGGCTGAACTCTGGGAAACTGTTTTCTAGATGACCTTAAATGAGCTAGGCTTGCTGGGGCGTTCTTTCAAGTAAAGCTTTACAGTTTTCCACCCATGAGCCTGCCAAGGGAAGGAAATCTTGATGATTTCTACATCCAGGAAAGGCACCCTTCCCATGGTGATAGCTGCTGGTGGCTCTTTGTCATCTTTGTCAGCTCCTCAGCAGTAGAAGCTTGCCGATGTCTTGGAGACTTCTGGGGGCTCTTCCCTTACTTTTGTCCTGATGTAAAGAACTTGTGACTTCTTTTATTTCTAGCAACCTCACTCTTAAAGGAGCTAACTTGGCAGGCTCTCCCCTTCTTGGGAACCTGAAAAATTTTTGAGTGGACTTTTTCTTCACGTTTCCCAGTGTAAATCTTGCTCAAAGCAACAAGCAGTATCCATGATACATCCTGAACCTTGGCGGCTTTGCAGTTTCCTTCACCAGACTAATTAATCTGTCATCTTTAACCTCAGTCTCCTCCAAATTCCCAGGAAATGAGTAAAATGTAGACAAATTTTTTGCCAGAGTGTAATACACATGTCTGGAGTCCAAGTGCCAATGGAGTCCTTGTTCCTAAGCCTGGCTTTTATAGTCTGTATCTGTCAGTACTGCACATCAACCTTGGCTTATGGTATCGAGGGCTTCTCTAGACAGCATCTCCAGCCTTTTCCAGATCCCTCCTGTGAACCAGTTGCAAAGGCTTCTGAACCACATGGTCTGGTAGGGCCATTTCTCTGGTACCTAACTCTGTCTTAGTCACTTTAATCATCCCTAGAACAAAACACCTGACTCTCACAACTGAAGCTCATGTTTCAGAAGTTTCCATCAATGTGTGGCAGGTTCAAACACAGAAACTGCTTGGTAGGAAGGCCTCAGCTGTTCATGTCACGGCAGCCAGGAAGTAGAGTGAAGAGAGGAGCCAGAAAGGGAGATATACCCTTCCAGGCTATCCCTTCTAGTGACCTGCATCAGACTTCACCTCAGACAGCAAGTCAGCTGGAGCACCCTTATGGTCCAATCTTCTTCCAAGGGCTCTACCTATAATCACATGAGGCTCTTGAGGAACATTTTGCTGTAAGTCACAGCTGATGTCTAAGGTTGCTCAAGGAGGCTGAGGCTTTCTCTTTGTGAGGTGAATGCCATCAGAAGAGTGTATAAGAAAATGAATCCCAGTGAGCCCTTGTAGAGAGGGGCAGTTAGCTCATATGTAGTGACTGGCATATGAAAAGGAAGTTTTGACCCTGGAGACCCTCTGAACATTGTCTGACCATTGCTGGGAGGTTGGAGACTCTGATCTCCTCACAGTACTGATAAAAAAGAGGAGTGTCACCAGCAGGGGTGGCCCTAGAAATATCCACACCACTTTGCACATTACTTCTGTCTTTGGAGCCAGATTTTTCACTATGTGCTCCTCACAATGACCCCAGAAGGAAATTGTTAGCATCGTCACTGTCCATGTGTGGAGACTGAAGAAAACAAGATGTTTCCTGGCCCAGGTGTCTCATGAAACAAATGATAGATGCTGACATTTAAAGGTATTCTAGCACCTCTTTGTCCAAATCAGAGTTAAGTCTCCTTGTCTCCCTCTGCTCAGGACAGGATCAGGTAGAGCCCCAGGCCTGTTGCAGGATGATATGGGACTTTCCTCATAAGTCAAATGGCATTGATGTCCAAAGGGATGAGGTGCCTGACTCTGTCACCTGTTGGCTGAGGGTTCTTTAGTTCAATTTGGAATAAATTATGAATTGACAAAGGGCAGGTCCTTGGACATTAGCAGCTCTGGGCTCTGAGAGCCACTGCCTCTTAGCTCTTAGTTTTATAGCTCTTAATGTTGCAACTTTGGTGTGTTAGCTGTTGGTGACTCCTTGTCACTCTTATCAGCTCCTCAGCAGCTGAAGCTCATGGCTGTTTTATTAACTTCTTGGGGCTGTTCCAGCAGCATCTGCTGCCTCTGAGGCTCTCCACAGGTCCTTTCCAGGCTCTGCTGGTCTCCATCATTCTCTGCTGTTCTTGACTCCTTGCTGCTTTGGCACTTTTGGGGAGCACTCCAAGGCTAATAGCACCGTGTTACCAGATCTTTTAGAGAAATCCCATCACCCCCCTCTACTGGAGATAAGAATCACAATTCTTGGAGCCTATTCTGCAGCACGTCAGGGTAGTCCACAGAGTGTGAGGGAGTACTGCTTGTACAGAGGAGGTCCAAGCCACATGTGTGCAGTTTCCTGAGTTTCTCAGAACTATTTGGCCTCTTTCAGAGAGGTGGGAGGGTGAGTCATTTGAAGATTGCAGGGTGAAGTCCTCTGGGATGGTTCTATATTTCAAGCCTGCTATGGCCAAAGCATTGAGCAGCTGTAGGGTGTCTAGGACTCCCCACAGGTAAACTTTGGGAGAAGTGGTTGCTTATTTGACAGCTTCTGCATTTTCTCAAGAAAGGCAGGGTTGAGACTGACTGTGGCTATTTAGGATGAGTCTCTAGGAGGGATGGTAGTGTTGACTATACCTCATGGGGTTTGGGAATTTCAGAAATAGAAGCACAGTCTCTCCCTGATCATCTCCCTGCCAGATGTATTCCTCCAGTGCTCCTCAGAAGTTCCCTGAAATTCCCACAGTAGGGGAGAGATTTTGCTGCTGTTAGGGGATCAGGAGCTAGTGTGGCCTAGGGGGCAACTGCCCAGGCAACCACATAGGTAGATGTTGGGGTACTTGCCCCAACTCTGCCTCCAGGGGGTAGTAAGGGAGAAAAAGGGAAGAGGTGTGAGGGCTATGAGCAGAATCCACCTCCTCTTGTTATTAGAAGAATAGGAAAGGGCCTCATTGTTTTCTATTCCATCCCCTTCCCTGTTGTCAAGAAGGCAGGCCACTGCTACTACTCTACTGTTGGGTATTTTTGGTTCTGGTTCTGCTATGATTAGTACTGCAGCTGTCTGTTGTTTATGGTCTTGCTGCAGTTACAGTGCTGGTTCCTGAGCTGCACTGTACTCCATCTGGCTCAACTAACCCCACAAGTTTGTCTTTGGTTCTAGTCTTACAAGCAAAGGTTTTCAAAATGTGGCTCTCAGAGTACCAGCAGCAACACTTCCTAGAAATTTGTTGAAATGAAAATTCTCAAACCCCAACCCAGACCTCCTGCATCATAAACTCTTAGGGTTGAGGCTCAAGGGTCTGTATTTTAACAAACGTCTCAGGCTGTTATGATGTATAAAAAAAGACTGAGATATAATTACCTGTGCCTTTCAAACAACTTGTGTCTCTATAGTGGCCTTCAGAAAGATTTTTGAAGAATGGACTAGGGGTAAGAGATGATGAGTGAGAATACCAGTTTAGAGGACACTGTACTAGCCTGTGATGATGAAGGCCAAAATCAGGGCATGGTAGTGACATAGGACCTCCAAATGATATAAAGGAAATAATATATGTCCCAATCTGCTAGATGTTAGATAGGCCAGGTTCGTGTTTCCCAAAATCAAAGAATGAATTCTAAAAAACAATGGAGGTTAAGACTAGAAAATATTTATTAGGAGGGAGAGATTTAAGTTCCTGAGAGGTAGGAGGTGACCCAGATAGGTAGATGTGGACCTCACTTTACAGGGAAGTTTATAGAGTAAAATCATGAAGTGAGTACAACATGGGACAAAATTATGATCAACCAATAAGATTACAAGGTATAGCTGCTTAGATAATATTGATCCAATGGGGAAGCAAGTGTACATGGAAAGAGCCAAGAACTTTCTCAGGAAAGGGTGGATCAGGAGGTCTTGTTCACATTGGTGAGATCTATCTAGACTTTATTGGACCAGGTGTTCTCACTTATCCCGTGGGGAAGTATGCAATCGCATCATTTTGTCTGTATCTTGAGGCCTGGAGTCCAACAGATGTGCCTGTGGCCACAGAGGTAATGTGTTTTCATCTTTTGCTCTGACTCTCTAGAGGGTTCCTCTATCTGACTGCCTATAATATTTCTAACTAACTTAGTTGTCTATGATAATAGGAGAGAAACAAAGTGAAAGAAGGAGCAGAAGCAATATTAAATGTTTAAGAGGTAAAATGGTAAAATGAAGGTGCTAGAAATGCAACTTTTGAATAATACTATGTCTAGGTTTTACTCTGGACCAACAGAATCAGAATTTCAGGAGTGTGGAGTCCAGGCATCTATGGTAATAAAATGTAACCCACCTGGGGATGTCCAGTGGACATCCAAGGTTGACAGCTAATGTCTTTGGCCATGCTCAAAGTTGTCCTCATGCTAACAGCATCAATAGCTGCAGCTGATCAGAATGATAGAACCTTAGCACCAGCCATACCTACTGAACCATGATTGGCCAGTGATCAGTGAACAGCAAGGGTGAGAAACTGAAAGGCTCACAGTCACTGTGGCTCAATGGCCCTCAAGCTGCACCTGCTTTGTGGTCTCAGACTGTTTGGGAATGGGACTCAGGCATCTTCAAAACAGATTCTGAGATAATCATGGCTAAAAACCATGGACTGCTTCTGACTCCAAATAATTGTAGAGCTACTTAGGATCTCACCTGGGGTCAGCCATCACTTCCATGACCACTGAGTGTCAGATGAGGTGCGTGGGACAGTGGAAGATGACAAGCATGTCAGACAGGAACCTGTCCATAGCGGTTATAGTGCTGTAGGGTGATGAGACAGGGACACCAATCTCTGCAAGCAGGGGTGACTGATTAGTGCTGATTGCTGCAGCAGACAGAGAGGACACCATGCAATGCAGAGATGGAAAGAGAACTAGTGTGGCAGGAGGATCCTCTCCGTTCTCAGGAGAGCAGGAAGAGATCAGGAGAACGATCCATTGAGAAACCAGGTAGAGGTCTTGTGCCCATTCCTGTGAGGAGAATAAGGTCAGAGAATGACTATGTTATAACTGCCTACCACAGATGCTGATGTTATAGATCAGAGAGTGTGGTGGGTGGTGGGTATTATTTAATATTATCAGCCACTTATTCTGGATAGTCTTGAACCAGCATTAGTCAGGAACCTGCAGCTCCTGCTTGGGAGCCCATATCTTGGGAAATCTGCTGGTCATTGTTGTGAATAGTTCTGTCTGGTTATAGAGGTTCGTCCAAGGCCAGGTATAATCTCTGTGGCTTTTTGAAGGAGATTATGCATTGTTTGGCCAGTCTTGCACCATGCTGGCTTTGTGAGTTTCTCCTGACTCAGTTACCCATTCCCTACTCTCCTGTTATGTCTATCTTGCCTAGACTAAGAATCTGTCCCACCCCAAGGATTGATAATGGCATGATGCCTTCAGTCATAGGGTACAGGAAAGAGAGTTAAGAAGAACAATAATTTCCATGTCCCAGTGTCTATGTATAGCTCAGATACTTTTTATTTTTTATTTATTTTTTTAATTGAGTTTATTGGTTCATTTTAGGTATACAGTACAGTTACATTCATTACTGGGATCTTGTACCTTTACATGACAGGTCTTGGTTCTCATTTTTTCCCCTTGTCCCTGACCTCCCTTCACCCCCTCCTCCCTTCCCAGTTTACAAACACTTTATTTCCATTTTTTCATTTTCTCATGTTTTTTTCTTTTCCCTTATTACCTTTCCCTTACCCTTCCTACTTTCCCTACACCTTTAGCCCTTTTCTTTCTATTTCATATCATCAATTACCTCATTAGTATCTTATGTACTATTATAGTTTATTCATACCAGAGAAACTATTTGGTATTTATACATGTGTGGCTTATTTATTTCACTTAGGAGTATATCTTCAGTATGTATCCATTTTCCTATGAATGAGTCTAATTTCTCATTCATTATGGCTAAGTAGTATTCCATTTTATAGAAAGACCACATCTTTAACCAGTTTCAAATTGAGGGGCAAATGGGCTGTTTCCAGGTTTTAGCTATAAACATAGGTGTGCATATATCACTGTGATATGATTCTTTTAATTCTTTTGGAAAGATACCCAGTAGAGGGATGGCTGGGTCAAATGGAACCTCTAGTCCCAGCTCTTTGAGGTATCTCCATATGGATTTCCATAGTGGTTGCACTAGTCTGTACTCACACCAACAATGGAGAAGGGTTCCTTTCTCCCACAACCCTGCAACATTTATTTTTGTGTGGTATCTTGTTAACATCCATTCTTTGTGGGGTGAGTTGGAATCTCAGTGTTGTTTTCATCTGCATCTCTCAAATGACCAGTGATGTGGAGCATTTTTTCATATATTTACTTGCTGTTTTTACTTCTTTGTCTGAGAAATGTCTGTTCATTTCAGATGCCCATTTTTGAATTGGGTCTTTATATTTGGGGGGGCTGATTGTTTTGAGTTCTTTATATATTCTAGATAATAGTCCTTTGGCTCAGACACTTTTTAAAGCTCAGGTTTAATGCCACTCATTTGAGTAAGAATTTACATCTTTGCAGTGTCTTTTAGACAGGAGATTTTAATCTCACCATTTCACAGATGGGGACACTGAGCATTGGGGAGATTCAATAACTGGACCCTTAACTTATGAACTCAATTAGTACATGAGGATTAGTTGTAACTCAAGTTGGTCAGGTTCCTCTATACAGTCTTTGAAGTCTCTCGCCTGTGTAATTTTAGGCCACACTTTCTTCCAGGCAGATCTTAGTATTCTTAGGGAGACATCGGCCCAGGATTTCTCAATTAACTGCCACATGAAAGGGTGTTGTAATGCTCCTTCCAGAACTCTTTAAGGGTTAAATCTGTATCTGAGACCATCTGGAACCACAAGCAACTAGCATTTGGGTCATGAGTCAAGAATTTGTTCATAAGTTAAAACTAAAATTCTGGTTGAACCCAGAATTGTTCATATGAATCTAAGTCGTTCCTATGTCAAGCCAGTCATAACTTGAGGGTCTAGTGAACTTATTTTAGGTCTCAAAGAAGCAATTGACAGAACTTAGATTTGAACTAATCTATCAAAATCTGGACTCTGTGTGCTTACACCAGAGATAATTTATTATTTCCAAACAAGGCAGAAAGCCTGGGTGTGGGAGAAGAGTTCAGCAGCCTTGATGTCTGCAACTACAGATGGGGTGAACAGCTGGGACTGGAACCTCAGATGTGGGGTAAGAAAGGCTGAGGCTTCCATTCACTGTGATGTGTTGATATCTGGTTGTATTCCTCTAGGTTCAAAAGTGAAAGTCAAGGACCCACAGAAATTCAGTATTCGTGATGGAGATCAGAATGTGGTGGTCCTGGACTGTGGGAACCTCTTAGCAGTTCCGAAGAAAAGCTACATACTCTCAGGTGACTCTCAGCCTTGGCTGTGTTTTTGGTCTCCAATCAGCCAGGGCAAGGTCTCCTTGGACATGGGCTCAGCTCTCTGCTCTACCCCATCCCCAGACAGCAGGTGGTGGCCATGAAGAGAAGTCCCAGGGATCTTAGGAATCTGATAGAGTCTGTCACAATGAGCGGATCTGAAGCAGCCTTTCTGAAAGGGCTGGAGGAAAGAAGGAGCCAGACCCTTAGTCTGTGGAAGAGGAGAGTCAGACCAGCATGCAGATGCAAACTTTGACTCCAGAAGCAAGGGAATCAGGGACATGTGCCAGGCCTGAGACCTCAGTAGATAGGAAGGCTTCTCCCTGCTCTGAGCCCTGACCCTTCTTCTGTTTTTTCTCAGAGACCTTCTTTGCATTACCCTCACATTTGAAATCAGCCACTGCAGGGAAAGGAGATCCAATTCTCTTGGCTGTCTCTAAAGGGGAGCTCTGTCTATGTTGTGACAAGGACAAAGGAAAAAGCCATCCATCCCTTCTCCTGAAGGTGAGTACTCCAGCTCCATATTCTGTAGTTCAGAGTCCAGCTCAGTATCCTGGGTACCCTTGGCCACCTGAAGCTATACTGGGCTGAAGAATTTCCTGCCCTTCTGTGGGGATTTGTGCTGCTTCTAGGGACAGAGCAGGGACTCCATACAATGAGAGCTAGGAGGAGTAGCTGGGTGCATGCAAGCAGGTTTTGCTCCTCTTCTGACTCACCTGCCATGGCTGGGCTGTGTCCTCCTTCTCTGGCTGCCCATATGACATGCTAGAGTCAGGATCCCCAGTATTGGATTGGAGGACATGAAGCAGCTATGGGGGTGGGACACAGGCAATCTGCCTGTTCTGTTAACTTAATTTTGGATGGGGCATTTTTTTTTCACTTCAGGGAAGAAACTGTAGGAAGTTCATTTTAAGAGTCATGCTCTTATCTGCATATTTAGAGCTGTTATTTTGGTGTCCATCTGACACCTCAGTTTAATTCTGGGGAGAGAGGGATGTGGATGATAAGGCATGCTTACTGATCACTTTTAAAATGCCAATACCACAGCTGATACTACAGGTTCCCCAAGGGCCAGCCACCTTTCATTTCTTCCCTTTCTCTCTGGGGAAAAGGCCTGGAGCACGTGTATTAGGTTTTCTCCCATCAAAGCCTGTGCTATCTAACCAACCTCTCTTATTTCACAGAAGAAGAAACTTATGAAATTAGCTGATGAGAAGGAGGCAGTGCGCAAGCCCTTCATCTTTTATAATGCCAAGGTGGGCTCTTTGCACACCTTGGAGTCAGCTGCCCACCGTGGCTGGTTCATCTGTACCTCCTGCAATTCTGGTGAACCTATTGGAGTGACAGATAAAGTTGGCCAAAAGAAACACATTGAGTTTTTATTTGAGAAAGTTTGCAAACCTGAAATGAGTCCATGAGGGACAGTGATTAAGAAAGTGTACGTAAGGATCAAAATGTATAATAGGTAATGTGGAAAAGGAAGGAAAGGTCCAAAGGGGATGGGGAAGTGGGAGGGGTCAGGGAAAGGAAAGATGGGAAAGGATTAAATGGGAGAAAATGTCTCTCTCATGTGAATAATCTGCAATAATACAGAAGATCCTAATAAGATTACTGACATTTAGAAATGGGAAGAAAGGAGCTAAAGGTGTAGGGAAGGTAGGATGGGTAGGGGAAGAGTAATAAGGAAAAAGAAAAAAATGTGAGATAATGAAAAGATGGAAATAAAGTGTTTGTAGATGGGGAGGGGAGGAGGGGGTGAAGGGAGTGCAGAGGTAAGGGGAAAAAATGAGAATCAAGACTTGTCATGTAGAGGTACAAGATCCCAACAATGAATGTAACTGTACTGTATCCTTAAAATGTACCAATAAACTCAATTAAAGCTGAAAAAAAAATAAATGGGAGAAAATGAAAAAGTGGAAACAAAATCTGGGGTGGAGGGGTTAAAGGGAGGGCAGAGGAGTGGGGGAAAAATAAGAACCAGGATATATTATGTAAAAGGGCAATCTTCCAATAATTGGGTGCCAATATATTGTATATCTGAAATGTACCCATAAAATTAAATAATAAAAAGAAACTGCCCTCTTCAAATACCTTCCTCTGCTTTCTCTCTAACTCATACCAGTCCCAAGAAACCTGCTTATGAGCTATTTGTCCTATGCGTCTCCTTTCTTATTCATATGTTAATGACTCATGCTTTTAGCTTATGAGAAGGAGGGTTTTTCAATTATGATATTCTTACATGAAATAAAAAATTGGATTGGCATATGCTCATCCTATGTTCCATTCTACTGTACCATCAGACACCAATGAAGTGTGTCATACTTCATGATATGACAAGTCCAGTCTGATATGTGCAGCAGGAAGGAGCAGGGAGTGCACAATTTGCTTTAGAATTTGCTATTTCCAGTCAACACTATGAGAACTAGCTCTGAGGTGGAAGTGCCAAGAAGTGGCTGAGTCTGTCTCCAAGATACAGTGTGCAAGGAAGAAAAACAATAGTAAATCACAAATGAAAAAGGGTAGGTGGGTTCCAGGTAAGGATCAGGGTGATTTGACATGGGGGAGGCCCAAGGAGAAGGTAACTGTGTCAGGTGACAACCAGGAGACCAGGTGAACAGCCAGTCATAGAGGCCTGTCAACAGGAGCAGACTCCTGTCACCAAGCAGAGCATCCGTGTGGTGGCAGAACCAAAAATCCAGGGCCTGTAAACACAGTGAGAAGTGGGGAAGGAGTCTTGGAAATTATTTGTCTACTACTTTTAGTGCTTCACTTATAAGCAATAATAATTTTTCCTGGCTTACTTTAGTAAAACATATACGAAAAGTGAAAGGAATTTACTGGAAAGATATATGGCATATTCACTCAGTGCTGATGTAAACCAACTTAATGGTTTAAAACAGTATGTTTTCTTATGGTTCTGGAGGTCAGTCCAAAATGGGTTTCATTGGGCTAAAATCAAGCTGTCATCAAATTGCATTTCTTCTGGAGTATTTAGATGATCAATTTCCTTGCCTTCCCATCTTCTGGAGGTCGCCTGCATTGCTGTCATCCCTTCTTCCATCTTCAAACGTGCTTTTACTGTGCCTGGCTCAAGTCTTTCGCTCTACTTCATTCAGATCCTTTTGCTTTCCTTTTCACTTATGATGACTCTGGTCATTGGTATTGGACTTTCCTCGATAATCCAGAATAATCTCCCATCTCAAAAGGTTTAACTTTCATCACATCTGCAAAGTCCCTTTGGCCATGCAGAGTAACATATTTACAGGTTCTAGGGATTACAACATGGACATTGTGGGGGCACATTATTCTGCCTACTGTGAAACAACTTTCGAAATTGAAGGACATGGTGAAGAACAGGATCATAAATTCCTAGTAAGTTGGAAATATCAGGACATAGAAAGCTTTGTCCTCTTGACTAAGATGGCTACAAGCCAATCAGAGTTTTTGTCATTAGCAAAAGATTCATTTTCCATAAAGTGCGTGTATTTCCCCAGTTTGAGTCACATGATCACTCTTTGATCAGTTAAAGGCAGCACATCTTGATCAACATTTCTTCTGGGACTATTTCCAACAGATCCAGTGAAAATCCTCAAAGCAGAATGAGAGGAGACAGGTGTGTGGATGCTAGGTGGGAAGCTAAACTCAGGGTAAGCAAGGGCTAATCACAGTCCCAGTGAGGCCAGGGGTAGCAATTCACATGGGACAAGCTCTGATGAGCTCAGATCCCCCAGTTGCTGATTCTTATCATGATGGTGACCAACACCACACCAGCTCAGTGGTAAAAATCATGTAATACTGTTAGTATTTGAAAAAGAGTACATATATTCTTCATAATTCCATGGAACCTCTTTCTCACCCAAGATTCAATGATTAAAATTAATCTCTGACCCAGGGCTTTCCCATGACAGTGAGAACCTCGTTCCTTGACAGACCAGCAGAAAAGAGATATACTTCACTGACCTTGGCTTAAAAAGGACAAATATGCAGGATCCCACACTTTGAAACACATCCTATTCCACTTCCTTCTACTGTGGCAGCCTATATAGGAAGCTGTGAAAAATACAGATTATCAGGGCTACACATCCTGAGATTATAATTTAGGTATTTGTGATATGGTAGCTCTGGGTCTAATTGCCTGTTTAAAAAGCTCTGAAGTAATTCTGATGCAAGGTGCTCCTTGTACATCTCATGAGAAAATGATAACTTGATTTTTTTTGGCTGAGAGCCATTTTTGAGTGATTGGACTGGCAGCCATCTTTGTGAACTTGCTCATAGGCATAAACACATACCACTGGGAATGTCCTGAGGTGACGTGAGCCTGAACCTAGAGAAATTGTGAGCCCTCTGTCAATTGTCTCCATGTTAGATGTGAGGAAAAAAAGCTTGAGCAGGTCAGGATGTAGACCCTGGCTTCAAGGAAGTTAGATGTCAGAAGAGCCATCCCCAAGTGTAGAGGGAGAAGCAGTGCCCAATGTGTGACTGGGACTGCATCCAACTGGGTAATCAGAAGGGAGATGCTTGAGCAAAATCTGAAGACAGAGACTCTGTTCTAGGACGATTGCAAAATAACTTTACTATTCATTTTAGGGAATAGCTGAATGGTACATGAAACTTTTTTTGGGGGTACCGGAGATTGAACTCAGGAACTTGTGCTTGTGAGGTAGGCGGCAGAATAATCACTGAGCTAAATCTCCAGCCCTTTGGATTCTTGATGACAACATGAAGATGTTGTAGCAGACCTGGACCACTTACCTGCAGACTTTTTATTGCATGAATCAAATACAGTTATTATACACCTCAGACCTTAAGCTCCAGATCTATTACATGTAACCCACTGTTATAGTGTTTCCTGTTCCTCATAGCTTACATATTCCTCACTGACACCACTTGGCACCTGAGAGCAAAGTGCTAAATATAACAGAACCTGTAATTTGGCCTTAGCTTAGTGGATGGAGTAGATAGCGAATACTCTAAGCTGGAAATCTATTGAACCGTTTTTGTGAGATGGCAAATTATCAGAGGAAGGCCAAATGAAACTTGGGGCACAAACCACATACTACCTGAGGCTGCACAGGGGCAAAAGAGCAGGATCATTTCAGAATATCAGTGTGAACTGATTATTTTCTGCTTCAGTCAGGAAAGTGCTGACAGAGAGGAACAGATTCAGACCAGAGTTTGCATCAGAGATGGAAGGAGCACTGCTTTGTTGAAGGGGATTTTGATCTGTAGCTTGCTATAAGTCCCATTATTTGAGTGACTGCCTGACTGTGAAAGCCACTTGCTCCTGTGTGGGACACAGAAGTTGCAAGGTGGCAGCTTTCATAGTGGCCAAGATGGATGTTCACCTTTATCAAGCATATTTATACAAATAAAGTAGTGTCTCTTATTTATGGGGACGTGTTCCAATACTCCCAATGAATGCCTGGGACTGTGGATAACACTGAACCCCAAATATATTACTTTACATACCTGTGATAACATTTAATTTATAAATTAGGCACAGGAAGAGATCTATAACAATAACTTACTGTAGATCTCGGCAATGTTCAAAATATGATTTTTTTTCCCTGTTAAGTGAAGGACTTTCACTTTTTTCCTTTAAAGGAAGCACTTTATAGCTTCTCTTTGGCAAGCTGGAATTGCTATCATTACTACTCTTGTGCACCGAGGCCATTAATAAGTACAATTACTAGGTGCAATTAAGTACAATAGGTTACTTGAACACAAACGTCGATACCACAACAGCTGATGAGACAACTATAGCAGATGCTAAGTAACTAAAGGCAGGTAGTGTGGATGTACGGGTGCAGAGGACAAGAGGGAGATGCGATATCACCACTCAGAATGGTATGTGATTTAAAACTAACGAATCATTTATTTCTGAAAATTTTCAGTCTGTGGTTGATTGTGGGTAAGTAAAACTGTGGAAGGCGAAACCATAGAGAAGGGTGGGAGGGGACTACTGTATGTCAGGCACAGTCCTGTAGAGTTAGGTCAAGTCAGTCTGACAGCCAGTATCACACTGGGGCTCTCTGGAATCTTCGAATCTGAGTCTATTCTGAATTGCTTCAAAGCAGCATCATTTAAATTAAAAAACATTGCAACCATATGGATCAGTGACTAACTGCCATTGTTTTTCAGGAATGGCCAGTTGCTAGAACTCCTAAAATAAAGGCAAATGCCAAAAAATTAAATATTAGATATATACAAAATTATACAGAATGGAGAATTCTTAAAAGTCTTTCAGAGACAAAGCAATTTTGATTTTACATTCTTACTGATATAGTTTTTTTTAAAAGGCAACTAAAATGTTATTCATCAAGTCATTTTTAGTTTTGATGTTATTTTGAACCCTACATCAGTAGACAAATCAAATATGTAATTGAGCTAATGTAAGTACTAATATATTCACTTAGAA